ACAGATCATTCGAATGCCCTATCAACTTTCCGGGAGTGTATATAAAAGACAAATAGATCTTATATACACACCGGGAGTGTATATAAAAGACAAATAGATTTTTATATACACTCCCGGAGTGTATATAAAAGACAAATAGATTTTTATATACACTCCCGGAGTGTATATAAAAGACAAATAGGTTTTATATACACTCCCGGAGTGTATATAAAAGACAAATAGATTTTATATACACTCCGGGAGTGTATATAAAAGACAAATAGATTTTATATACACTCCGGGAGTGTATATAGCCACGTTCTTTTAATTTTACTTGGCACTAAAGGTGGGGAGGGGGGCGGAAACACAACTGTACCAAACCTGCCAAAATTTTCACCCCATTTTTAACCATCGTAAGGATGTTGAGAAAAAAAACGTCCTGCCGCACTCACCACTTTCTTGGTCTCCGTTCCCCGCCCAGTTTGCCGAGACATCCTGGAGATTTTTACGTCGATTTTTGCCCGATTTTTACTGTAATTGACTATGGTATAGTCCACTTCCCACAAATTTCTCCGTAACAACTCTTACACATTTGTTTACGTACATTCGCCGTCAGATGCACAACTGTTTTCACTCACAGCTATGGTAAAATATCGTACAAATAATCTAAAAACAGCTCTTAAATATTTATGTCTTTACAAAGAAAAATATATGGTCAATTAATAGATTTTGTAATTTTGTGAAATTTTGTCACTAGTTATTGATACGAATCAGCGGCTGCGAATAACGGACCATGCTCACATCTCAGCTGACCCCTGGTGACCCTAGCGGCTCCAAACGTGTGAATTCGCCCCCTCCCTTTTTTTTGCCAGAATTTGGGCTTCAAACCGGAGGAGAGAGACTTTATAAATGACAGACTACGCTGAAGAGCAGGACAACGAGATAGAAGCGCTAGAATCTATTTATCCTGACATCTTGGAGGGTAAGTGACAGTTTTCTGACAGAAGCTTGTGTGCCCCCTCCCCATATACTTATAAACTTCGTGTGGCTTCCATATTTTTGGGTTGCATGCCGCTAATATAGTGATCTTTAATTTTCTATCTCGTAAATAGTGACCATGGACTTTGATTTTATTCTTATACGGCAAAGTTCAAGTTTAATGTACTATTAATCATCAAGACATAAAAGTAAGAAGGCTACTATAACTTTATAAATAGTTGTAACGTTAAAAGTCTTTCAGATCATTATTTAATTGAAACATCATTGCAGAAATACACATAAACATACAATGTACATATGTTGTCATCACGATTCACTCAAAACGATCTGAAATGAATGAATGTATGAATGGTTCAGGTTAAAAAAAAACACACTAGCTATTAAGATATAACAGCTATTAATATATAATACATTAAGATTATATTATATTGAAGAAACCGTGGTGCTCACCCCCCCCCCCTGCTGTTCCCAGTTTTAGAGACAGAGCCTCACTGCTTCAAACTCTCCCTGTCAGCAGAGACAGACAGCCATGAAGGTGAGGTTTGTTTCATTTATTCAAACTCAAAATGACTAATAAACTGGTGTACGTCCCAACTACTAAGTACCTAATACCAGCCCAGAAGAGAACAAGAAATAGCCATGCCTTCACGTACCAGAGTTATCAACCAAGGATCGAGGTGTTCAAGAATTCATTCTTTCCTAGAACTATCGCAGAGTGGAACTCACTGTCACCAAGTACAGTAGGGGCATTGTCATTAGATAAACAATATATAGAGTTAAACAATATCTATAGAAGTTCAAGGGTTAGGTGTAACAAGCCAGCTGCCAGGGGTAATGTAGCCAGCTGCCGCCGCGCCGCGTGCCTGGGAAGCTGGTGTGTTACGCCAAAAGGCGGTTATACCAGGTATACAGATACAGATACAATACTATTGTTGGGGTCGTGTAGCGCGTTCGGCTCACACTGGTCGTGGGTTCGAATCCCGCCCATATCACCGATCTTGTGCCCTTGGGAAAGGCACTTTACACGACTTTCCTCACTTCGCTCAGGTGAAAATGAGTACCTTGCTTCGGTTAGGGACGTCCCTCCGATAGGACGTTAAATGGAGTGTCCAGTGTTTGGGGACTTAGTCCTGTCTTACTTGCTCTATAATTTGTCACTTGGTGGCAGTCTCATTCGATACATACGTATATATGTATCATCAGAATACGCCAAAAAACAGTTACTCAAGCAACTGGATATGATTTTGAAAACGTCAGACGTTTCAGCTAGTATCCACTAGCTTTCGTCAGTGACTGAGAGACCAGAGGGGAAAGCAGGTTTATAAGTACAACCTGTTGATTGATATGCAAATAAAGTGAAGACAAATTTTTGGAAGTCGAAAAAGGAACAAAAGTCAGACAAGTCAAGACAAAATGATGCAAATTAGTCTGAAAGCTCCTGTTGTACAGAACAGGAGCTTAAGTGTTGTCTGTCCTCGGGGCTGGGAGTGCCAAATCCCAAGTGCCGGAAAGATCGACTCGTAGCCCCCCTTCCCTGTTGAGGGTGGGGTTGTACATTCTTTCATATATTGCCTCTTTAACACCCCGTTCCCACCAGCGTGTTTCGCGGTCTAAGATATCCGTGGACTCGAGTTTGAAAGAGTGACCCTGGTTGTGTTGTA